AGAGCTAAGAAGAAAAGAATATATTTTTTTTAAAAAAAGAAATAATAACAAATAAATGGTAGTGCAGAGAATACCTATTATTATTCTGGGGCCAATCATTTAATAATTAAAAGTTATCTCATAATTTAATAATTAAAAAATCAGATCCTTTTAAAATCTTACAAGTGTCAACCAACGGTTTTGTGATAAAGAAGGACAACATGGTGATTGGTGAGAACAAAAGCACATATCAACGAACATCCAAAAACAGTTTGGAATTAGGAAGCAAGGTATATGTAACCTAAAATCCTAAGTAATTTCACATCAAAAGATGAATCCCACATTACATAAGAATAAAATAAAATAAAGAATATATGTAAATATATAAAATTTGAAGCATATTGAGTAACGTGACTCAAACTTAATTGGAATTGTTAAGCTCACAGAATTTGAGGTGTAGTAAATTGTGAATTAACCCGCTCTTGAATATTTGGGATATATATATTGGATCCAGGATAATTGTGTCCGAATAAGGATTACGAATCCTATATTATTTGTTAGTTAGAGTTTATTTAGGAGTCTAATATTATTATAAATATATTTTATTATTATATGTTAACAGTAGTCCCCCTTAATTTATTTGGTCATTTTATGTCCAAATGTAGTGCTTATGTCTTTTCACAGTCTGATACTATTATTTTTTTTTATTTATATTAGGTTTTTATTGCGTTGCTTTATGAAGGCTTTTATTTCAATGAGGCATTGGTCTTAGAGGGGGGCATCCGAAGAGTCGCCTCATTTAAAGAAGGGACACTTCAGTGCCTCACCTAGCCTATATAAGGCCTCTATCTCCGTTCATTTGTTTCACTTCCCATTTCTCAACCACCAAAGTGTCGTTATATCTACGTTATGTTTGGGGATATCAAAAGAGTGGCATTCGGTTGGTTTTGTGGGTGGTATGCCTTCTAGCATCCACATGATTAGTAGGACAAGAGGCAACCCTTTCAGTGCCATCATGTATGCTTCTGGAGCTACCTTCTGGTCTCCCCTACTAGTAACGACTTCGGCCATATCGGAGTAAAACTTCATAGTGAGGTACCTAACACATGTGGTTGCTTCCAATTCATACAGGGCTGGTCTACCCAATATAGCATTGTATGGGAAATGAATGTTGCCACCATTAATTCCAATTTGAGTTTCCTCGACGAGACTTCAATTCCGAGCTCTAGGGTTATGTCTATGGACCTAGACACTTGCACAGGTTTTTTCGCTAAGGGGATTTGGACAGGTTTAAGCCTTACCTAGTCTAGTTAAAAAGCCTTGAATATCTCCATAGTTAATAAGTTCATTGCACTACCTTCGTCCACCAACACTCTTTTTACCGAAAAGTTTTCCAAAATCCCCTTAATTACTAGAGCATCATTGTGGGGCATGTACAAACTCACCATCGGCCTCGGAGAATGATATGGGTGGCCTGGTGCTTAGTTTTTGTTAGGGTAAAATGGAATAGATCTTCCTGGCTCTCCTTTTTCTACTAAATTGCTATCACCCCCCGATGAGCCGCCAAATATGGTGTAGATTGTGCCTAAGGTGTGAAATTCTTTTGGCTACTTGTCTTTTTGTTCACTTTTCCTCCTCACTCTTCCAACAAATTGCTTCAGTTTGCCTTTTTGTACAAGGCGTTCTATCTCTTTCTTCAATTGCCGACAGGCCTCGGTCTCGTAGCCTACATCCCTATGGAACTTATAACATTTGCTCTTATCTCAATTGTTTGAGATATCCTCCTTCATCTTTTTAGAATAATAGAACCGAATTTGATCGCCATGTTCTCGTATCCAAGATAATATTTTCGAGCGTGGTCTGTTTAAAGGGGTAAATTCCCGACCTTACTGTAGCTTATCTCTTGAGTATGGCATTCGAACAGAATAACTAGTTCATGAGAGCCGAATAGGTAACCTCCTTCGGGGCGATCGTCTCCTTACTGGAGATGAATGTCTCTTATGTCTATGCCTCTCTTCTCTGGGCGATCTGTGTTGTTGAGCTTCATAGGTTTCGTCTAATTTTATGTATTTGTAGGCTCGCGCCATAAGCTCGGCGAAAATTAGGGAAGGGACTATACTCCAACTTTCAAACAATCTGCTGTACCTGCAATTTTTTGCCATGGCGCTAACAGCTACCTCTCATCATTCAAGTTCTCCACTTGCATCGCCATTCTTTGAAATTTGGATATATACTGCCTCAGGGTCTCTCCCTCCTCTCTTTTTAAATCTATCAAATAATACGAAATTTTCCTGGATGGTGCACATGTCATGAAATGGGCTCGAAATGCTGTGACCAACTGAGAGAATGAATGAATGGATCTTGTCTTGAGTGTTTGATACAACTCTTGGGCCGCCCCTTTGAAGGTAGTTAGGAAGACCTTACACATTAAATCATCCGAATTGGTTTGCAAGTACATCATAGTTCGAAAGGTCGTCAGATGGCTCCGAGGATTGGTAGATCCATCATAGGATTGGAAAGTAGGGAGCTTGAACTTTGATGGAAAGGCTGCGGCCAAAATATTAACTGATAAGAGTGAGCCCTATCGGAGTCCATAATCTCCTACTTCTCTTGTCTCTCTATACTCCTAAACCAGTTCCTTGATAATATCCCGGAGCTTTGCTCCGTCCACCATTGGTTGGGTTCGACGTAGTTCCTAGCTGTTGGAGATAGTCATACTAGGGTTCACCTCTGATTTTGCCTCACAGTATCAATCAGATATTGGGTGATTTCGGTGCTTAGGCGAAGTTGGGGGTAGGCTATGCTCTTGGTGAGGAGGGTTCACCGGCCTAGGAGGTGATATTAGATCGCCTTTAGGCTGAGGGTTCTCCAAGAGGCGTTTCAGCACGTTGGTAAATTGTGAATAAGCTTGGGTTAAAGCAACCCCTACTTGAGGATCAGCGGTTGATGGAAGGATGAACAAGGATTATTGGTTGGCCTCGCCATGGGTGTTGCCTTGGCCTTCAAGGTTGAGGCACTCAGTGTGATCAGTGGCCAAGGGAATCGAGAAAAAAGTTTCAGGATTTTAGGGTTGAAGGTGTATTCCACGCTCATCGCACCAATTGTTAAGCTCTCAGAATTTGAAGTATATTAAATTGTGAATTGACCCCCTCTTAAGTAAATTTGGGATAAATATATTGGACGCAGGATAATTGTGTCAGGATAAGAATTACAAATTCTATATTATTTATTAGTTAGAGTTTATTTAGGAATCTAATATTATTATTAATATATTTTATTATTATATATTAATAGGTATTTTTCATTTAAAAGAAAATATCATTAATATTTTTAAATAAAAAAATTGGATATAAGTGCAGAGCTCGGGTACATGATTAATTTATAATGAAATGAATAATATAATATATTATACTTTAATATGATATTAATGTCTCATGTTCGAACAAGTTGAACATTCGGACCCAAATTCAACCGCACAAAATTAATTGAATATTAGGCGCAAGACTGAAACTAACGAACATAAATAATATTCCTTTTGTCCCATTTTGTTTGCATAGTTTAACAAAACTCGCATATTAAGAATTTAGTCAACAAAAGTTATTTTATCATTTTTAACCCTTTAATTCATTAAGACATTAATAAAATCCTTCATTTAAGGAATAACCTTAAAGGTTATTATGAAAAAAAAAAATTTTACATATATAAATTTAGAAATCTTATAAACATTCTGTGACATCCAAAAAAAATAAATAATAAGAAAAAAAAATGAAACTGAGAGGGTAATAATAAATAACTAAAGAACTTATAATAAAATAGAATTGATAATTGAGCTAGTATAAGTTAATTGGCTGTGCAAACGGATTTTAACACTCACTTACAAGCCTAATAGTTTTTAGCGTTTTTTATTTTTAGCTTGGAATAATCTTACCAGAAATGATAATATAAATTTGAGACAACCGTGCAATATTCTTATATTTATTTCATATAAGACTTCTTACAAAAGATTTTAGCAACTCTCATCATAGCAAAGCAAGGGATCTTAGTACCATATAAAATTAATATGTTAAAAGAAAAAGGAAAAAGAAGAAGAATAACAGATAGGAGGAAAAAATAGGAGAAGAAGAATAAGAAAAAATGAAAAGAAGAAAAGAGAAGGAGAAGAAGAAAAAGAAAATTAAAAAAAGAATAAGAAATAAGTTAAACAAAGATGAAGGAGAAAGAAAGTTTAAAAAAATTTTAAAAATGAAATTAAAGAAAAAACAAAATAAAAAGAGTTGAAAATTAATTACTTATCCTAGATAGTGACGAATTTTTTTTGTCTCTAAATATTAAAATCAAACACTAAATTTGATTATACAAAATCCATTTATACTGTATAAAATTTTAAATTCTGGGCATTTTGCAACTCGTCATACCATATAGATCTTTAAAAAAAAATTCAAAACTCATTGCAATACTTTAATAAATTTTAAATTGTTCATAATTTTTTTTGAATTTCGTCGCCAAATCCTCAATAACATAGTGATAGAATATATTTAATTGGTAAACTGTCGCTTTTCTAATAACAATTCATCAACAAATTATCAAAAATAGGCATGTAAATTCGTTTTTATCAATGAAACTGTTTCCGTTGCTATTTCTGTTAGTAATTCTAAATCTTATTCTAGTAACCAAAATAAGTTTGGGATTTTTATTCTCTTCAAAAATGACTATAAATGTAATTTTAGTAGATAGTTTCTTTGAATGATATTCAATTATTATTTAACTATATATTGATAGTAGAACAATGTCTACACTAACGTGAAACCTAACCCTATGAGATTATAATTTACGGGGAAATAAATAAATATATGTTGATAATGAAAAATTAATAGAAAAGTTATATAATTAAATAATTTTTTAACTCATTCACTGGTCTAACATGTGATTCACTTGGCTATAGTGGGTCTATCCCCTCTAGATGCCTGTGTGTGTGTATATATAGAGAAGCCAATTAGAGGTCCCCATCAAGTCCTAGACTTTCTCTCCACTACAATTCCTCAGTCACCTGCTCTAAATTCTCCTGTTCTAAATTCTCCGTTACAAACCCAAAAATCTTTCACCACTACCAAACATGGCGGCAACGCAGCAAGTGAGTCCAACACTTCAAAGCTCACTTCCGGTACCTAAGTTCTTGCAGTCCGACGATGGTGCGATAATTAGCAAGGTTGAAGGAACCCACAAGCCTGATAGTCGCCAAGTTGATGTTCAAAACTTATCCACTATTATCACCAAAATCTTGCTTCCTCACGATCCCAGTACTGGTGGTGATGTCACAACTGTATGTTCCAATTTCCCTTTTCTTTATTAATAATTTTTGGCATTTTTCTTCATTACAAACTTTCCTCAGTCACGCTGGCTCTTATTAATTGCTCTCTGTTCCCTCAAAAAATTGCTCCCGTTACAAATCTCCTCATAACCGATCTTGTCACCAACTAACCAAACATGGCGGCAAAACGCAGCAAGCGATGTCTCCTAAACACGTTCACAAAGCTTCACTTCCCGGTACCTTAAGTTCTTGCAGTCCGCGATGGCTGCGATAATTAGCAAGAGCTGAAGAACCCCACAAGCCTGATAGTCGCCAAAGTTTGACTGTTCAAAAACTTATCCACTATTATCACCAAAATCTTGCTTCCTCACGATCCCAGGTACTGCAGTGGTTGAGTGTCACAAACTGTATGTTCCAATTTCCCTTTTCTTTATAGAATAATTTTTGGCCATTTCTTCTTCATTAATTATAGTGTCACAACTGTATGTTCCAATTTCCCTTTTCTTTATTAATAATTTTTGGCATTTTTCTTCATTATTATAGTATTTATAATCTTAAAATATAATATTTATAATGTAATATTTACAATAATATGTTCATCACAAGTGTAATATTTACATGCAGTTGTAAATTTTTTGCAGGAAACATCTGTAGGACGCGAAGTACCGGCTCAGATCATAAAGCAGCTCTCTTGCGAGGTTAACTATTGTTATTGATTATAAATAGTAAATTCTAATACCATTTTTATGCACATATATTAAATTGTACACGCAGCTTTCATGCAATTGCTCAAGTGGAAAAGCTCAAGAAACAACTATGGTGTTACTTGAGAAATTACTTTCAAACTATTCTTGGGATGCAAAGTTGATGATAACAGTAGCTGCATATGCTATTAATTATGGGGAATTTCATCTACTTACTGAGCTTTATAATAAAAATTCAGTTTCGAAAAATATAGCTTTGCTTAAGCAACTACAAGGCAAGCAACTACAAGGCATAATGGAAGATGCCGATCACTTATTGCAACAATTTTCTGGAGCAATTATTGAACTTAACAAGGCTATAGTTGCTTTGACTCAAAGTGTCCTCCACTTCAATACCTTACCTTCTGAGTATGTTGTAAATAACAAACCACCATTTTCAACTGCCACAACTGATATCGCCAGAGCTGTGTATTGGGCAATTTACAGTGTCGTAACTTCTGCCTCTCACATTGCTGGTCTTGTTGGGTTAAAAAATCAGTAAGTTTATTTTATTAAATCTATTCTTTCAGGATTCATTTTTAAAAATTAATTTTTGTTTTTTACTCTAAATTAATTGATTTAGGATGGGTTTATATTAGCTAGATGGCATCTTAATTCTTAAACTTTTAATAATATTTTAGTTTTGTGACATTTTAAATTAGATTCCATTTTCGGTCTTTGCTAAATTATATAATTTTAGTACTTAAGCAAATTCTTTTTTTTTTTCTTATTTAAACCTTCATTATTTAAAATTAATTAGGCTCTAAATTATTCAAATTCAGCTTAATATATTCTTCAATTCTCCTGTAAAGTAAATAGCAAGTCATAGAGCTACTTGCATGATTTCAGGCTCACCATTGCAATGATGACATGCGAACTCTCAGAATTGGTTACTAAAGTTAGCAGCATACAGATAATTCTACAAAACCATTTCTCTCGTATCAAAAAAGAAATTGGTAAGTAATCGCATATTGCTATAAATCATCAGAAACTTTATTTGCTAATTTATAATAAAAAAAAATTAACTCTCTATCTTAAATTGTATTAAGTAGTTAATTATCTTAATTTCAGTTAATTCTTTACTAATTTTAATTAATGTCATTCTATTATAACGTTGGTAATTTAAATTAAAATCTTTCGATTACATTGAAAATTAATTTATGTAGAATGCAAAGATCCAAATTTTTTATTTAATTTATTGAAAATTGTAATTGGCTTATAAATCTGATGGTATAATGCAGAGTCTTACGATATGCTGGTGAACCTTTCTAACACTGTCCAAGACATTACAACAATCTTCCAGGCCTTCTTTACTGTCGAGAAAGAGGGCAGGACCGAGACGAAACTATCCCTTGTGAAGGGCAACAATATTAGGGAAAAGGTTTGATCTTTAATATTAATATCACCATATGTTACAACAAACTCAGGTTTTCTTTTTTTTTTTTTTTTTTAATATCAGGTTTTCTTTTTTTTTTTTTTTTTTAATTTATAATATATATATATACATATGACAAATTCTTTTGGCAATAAAATACAGTTCAAAATTGAGGAATTAAAGGACTCAAAGGTTGTGCTGGTCGTTTCTGGACTTGATGAATCTGAAGTTGAGATTAAAGCTCTTGCGAAATTGTACGAACAACTCCAAAAAGAGCAAAAGATTCAATACCAACTAGTTTGGATTCCAATTGTGGAGGGCCAAGTCGATGAGCAAAAGTTCTCGTCTTTGCAATCTCTGATGTCTTGGTATACTGTAAAACACCCTTCAGTTGTCAAACCAGAGGTTATTAGATACATCAAGGAAGTGTGGAAGTTCTCGAAACAGGCAATTCTGGTGTCTTTTGATCAAAAGGGACGTACCGAAACTGTTGATGCTCTAAACCTATTCTTGCAAAAGGGATCTTTGCCGCTCTAAACCTATTCTTGCAAAAGGGATCTTTGCCTGGTCTACTCCCATCATCACCTGCAAAGGAGAAGTCTCCATGGGAAATTAATCAACTGACACTAGATATTCTTATTCAAGATCTTTATCAAGTTGATTCGGTATTTTTACTTCATCCCTTTTGGTATTGATGAATTTAAAGTACAGATTTTCGTTTACTGATATTAGAATTTAATTTCTGGTTTTTGATTGTATCAGAGCTACCAATAAATAACATGAAAACTTGCTTATGTTATGTATATTGCAGACGGAACCTGCACCAATCATATGCCTATATGGAGGAGAAGACATGAAATGGATTGAGCAATTCACTGCAGCAATATTAGCACGTATGAAAGACTTCCCTGAGTTGAAGATAGAATTAATTTACGTGAGCAAGAGCAATACGACCGATCAGGCCAACAAAGCAATTCTTGATTTCATTACTACAAACAAAATTGGCGATTATTGGAAAGCAGAAGAAACAAAAAGTTGAACAAAAAGTTGGCGCGATTTGGACTTAGATGGACGATTTTGGACTAGATTGGAAAGCATTTTCACTTCAGGGCTGAAAAATGGGAAAAATGCAAAAGAAGACAGCATAATGAAAGATGTGATGACATTGCTTAGCTTTAATGGAACCTGTAAAGGATGGGCTATATTTGGCAAATTAGGATCTAATCAAAAAATGGCTAAAGCAATGGGTGATGTTATTCTGCAGAGCTTGTCAAAAATAATAACATGGTCTAGCGACTCTTTTCTCGCAGCGCTTAACAACCAAATTGAACAACTTCTGGCTTTCCAACCACACCATTGCAGCCACATTGTCCTCCCTGCAACTAATCTTGAGGTCAAGGATGAGATGATGACATGTGCAACCTGTGGCCGGAAAATGAACAAGTACCTGACGTACCAGTGTTGCGTGTAGTAAGCATGCACCGTTGCCGGAAAACTTCCAGATGTTCGTTGAGAATAATTTTGTTTTTGTGGTTAATGTAATGTCTAGGTAGGACTAGACGAGTGTGCTTTTGTGTGTTGTGCAATAAAACTTGATCCCAGGTCATATAATACCTGCAGTTTATTGTAATGAACTGTTAACGGACTTTTTTGGTATAATGTAATAAAATATGGAGGATATTTCAAGTCTCATATCTCTCTTACATGTTCAACTTTTGATATGGGCAATCAACATATATATTGTTAAGTGTATTATCTATTAATTTAACAAAAATAGAAAATTCTACTTTTATATATGTTATAAGATACTTCCGTGTATTTCTTTTGGTTTTAGATTTTCTCTTATTCTATCCACTTAGGTTCAAGTGTATGTGTGATGGCCTATTGACCAGGATTTAGTTCATCATATATTTAGTTTTTTCTTGAATAATGATCATCTACCACTATAAAAGGTAACAGAAATAAGAATCAAATCACTTGAAAGACTTACTTACACAGGCTGTATGACCTGTCTATACATCAGATTAATAGTGTTTCGATTCAAACGAACGTATTTCTGATTGTCCACAAAAAAAAATAAATCAATAAAAAATATCCACACCTCTTATTAACAGTGTTTTAAAAATAAGATTTTTTAAAATATTTTAACTATTTTATTATTTCTTTTGGAATGAATCATAAAAATACCCTCTTTACAATCAAAATGTCCTCCAATACCCACACCTTTATCCACAGCTTAAATGCTAAAAAATAGTTTAAGATTACAATTGATGTTAAAGCATACATATTTACAGAAGAAGAGACGAGAAAAAGAAAAGAAAGCAAAAGAGAAGCGTAGGCCCAGGATGACCGTTAGTTAGGGCTAAAGCTGAAAGTGATATAGCTGTGTTTTGTTAGTTTGTGTGCCTTTATGCATATTAGGGTGCGTTGACATGACTGTTTTTCTCCTCATATATTAAATTATTTTATCATATATTAAAGTGATACAGCTTCACATTCTTTTCAATTATTTTATCTCCGTCTCCAAAAAAAAAAAAAAAAAAATCCATAAACCTCAACAATCAAACAATAACAAATCTTTTACAAATCACAATGTATAATAGTTGCGTAAAAAAAAAAAAAAAAAAAAATTTAAAATAAAGTGATATATGAACTCTTTTTAATTAGAATATAATGATTATTATGGTTTGATTTTAATATAAATTTTAAAATAATTATAAAATTAAAAAAAAAAAGTAACTATCACTTTATTTGACCCGTAAACTATTAGAAATTGTAAAATTTTTTATAAAAATGGAATATAAGAAATAATTATGTTCTATTTTTTAAAAAAACATTCATGTATCAAAAAATTAATTTTAAAATAAAACATTCATGTATCAAAAAATTAATTTTAAAATATTATTTATTATCAATTAAAGAAACAATATAAAAAATATTAAAAATAATAATAGAGATTGTCCATATACTATTAATCCAAACTCGTTCATTCACACAAATGTATTAAGTTAGTCCAAACCCGAGGTCAAGAGTTTTTTTTTTATAATTTATAAGCCCTAAATATAATTTAGGATGCTATTACAATAAAATGTCAAAGATCAGGGTGAAATTGGTATAAAAGTCAAATTAAAGTGAATTGAACGAAATGTTAAAGTTTAGGGTGAAATTAACATAAAGGTTAAATTGAAATAAAATTACAACAAAACCAAAAGTTGAAGGTGAAACAATATATTAAGCCTCGAAAGAAATCCCTAAATTATGATTTTATTAAAACTTTAATCCTTCTATCTGAAATAACTTATTTTGACTGTCAATTGATTGGAAAATGATGAAATTAACCTTACATAATTAACATATGATGGCTATTTGTTTTCAAAAACTAATTAAAATGTCTTTGTCATTTTGTTAACACTTTAATCCTGCCATCCAAAATGAAAGGATAAAAGTGTTAACCAATCATAATTTTAGAGATTTATAATTAGTTTTTAAAAATAAAGGTATATTATATTTTAATTTAATTATAATTTAGGGATCAATTTATATATATATATTTTTTTTGAAATAAAGATTGAAAGGCTGTCATGTGGATTTTTTCGCAAAATCCAGCCAATTAAGTGGGAAGTAAATAATTATATTAATAACATTGGAGTTTATTAGGAAAATGTTGAGCGTCCAAATCAAAAGCCGAAGAAACAAAGAACCTTCAAGTTTTTATTATATCATAGCATACCAGTTCCTACAGGTGCAACATGGGAACCAGTTCCAGGACACAAACTAACGAAAGCACACTCATCTAGCACAAGCTAGACATTACATTAACCACACATCAAACAAAACAGAAACAAACATAACTCCCATAACTAAATTATTCTTGCAACCAACCTCTAGCAGATATTGCATGAAACTCACTTACTAAATACAACACCGGTACATCAGGTACTTGCTCATTTTCCGGTCACATATTGCACATGTCATCAATTCATCCGGAATCTCGGGAATGGTCGCCGGGAGGACAATGTGGTTGCAATGGTGTGCTTGGACAGAATTTTGTTGTTCGATTTGGTGGTTAATTGCTGTAAGAAAAGAGTCAATACTAGTGCCAGGTTTCCACCATGTATTTATTTTTAGCAAAATCTGCAGAATAACTTCCCCGGTTGCTTTAGCAATTTTCTGATGAGATCCCAATTGTCCAAAAATAGTCCATCCCTTATAGCTTCCATTAAAGCTAAGCAAAGTCATCACATCTTTCATTATATTGTCTTGTTTTGCAATTTTTCCATTTTTCAGCCCTGAAGAGAAAATGCTTTCTATTCTAGTCCAGAATCGCCAACTGTATGTTTCTTCCGCTTTCCAATGCACACCAATTTTCTTTGCAGTAATGAAATCGAAAATAGCTTTGTTGGCTTCATCGACTGCATTGCTCTTGCTCACATACCATCCCTTATAGCTTCCATTAAAGCTAAGCAAAGTCATCACATCTTTCATTTTATTGTCTTGTTTTGCAATTTTTCCATTTTTCAGCCCTGAAGAGAAAATGCTTTCTAATCTAGTCCAGAATCGCCAACTGTATGTTTCTTCTGCTTTCCACTGCACACCAATTTTCTTTGCAGTAATGAAATCGAAAATCTCTTTGTTGGCTTCATCGATTGCATTGCTCTTGCTAACATAAACTAATTCTATGTTCAACTTGGTGAACTCTTCAACACGAGTTATTGCTGCAATGAACTCTTCAATCCATTTCATGTCTTCTCCTCCATAAAGGCATATGATTGGTGCGGGTTTTGTCTGCAATATACATATATATGGAAATTCACCACAGTAAAATCAAATTCTAAAATCTGAGAATGAAAATCATTAATAATATATATGGAAATTCACCACAGTAAAATCAAATTCTAAAATCTGAGAATGAAAATCATTAATACTAAACAGGGATAAAGTAAAATTACCGAGTCAACATGATAAATATCATGAATAAGAATATCTAGTGTCAACTGCTTCTCTTCCCATGGTGATATCTCCCTTGCAGATGATGATGGGAGTAGACCAGGCAAATATCCTTTTAGCCAAAGGAAGTCAAGAGTATGAACAGATTCTGCATGTCCCTTTTGATCAAACGGCACCAATATTGCGTTTTTCGAGAACTTCCACACTTCCTTGATGTATCTGATAACCTCCGGTTTGATAAATGAAGGGTGTCTTACGGTAAACCATGACATCAGAGATTGCAAAGACAAAAATTTCTGTTCATCCAAATTGCCCTCCACGATTGGAATCCAAACTAGTTGATACTGAATATTGTGCTTTCCTTTGAGCTGTTCGTTCAATTTAGCAAGAGCTTTAATCTCCACTTGCCATATGTCAAGTCCAGAAATGAGCAGCAAAACTTTTGTATGCCTTAATGCCTCAATTTTCACCTGTAATACCTCAATTTTAATACCTCAATTTTGACCTGTAATTTATTGCCACAAGGGGTAAATATACCTCTTCCTTAGTGGTGCCCACCACAAGGGGTAGCTTCCCATCGTCCACGTGGAAGAAGGCCTGGAAGATTGCTGTAATGTCTTGGACAGTCTCAAAAAGGTTGACCAGCACATTGTATCCATCTGCAATCATCTCATCATCTTTATAAGCCATTTGAAGCAAATTAAATTAAGAATTCGAAGAAACTTCTTTGAATTCGGATCTTTTCCTTTACATGGTATTAAAAGAGAATACATTTCTTTTCTAAAAAAAAAATTCATGTTTTTTTTTTCTGCTTTAAAAAAAAATAGATTGAATCAAAAGAAATTTAAATTATGTTATCTTATCTATCTATAGTAACGAAGAATTTTTTAAGTTAAAGATATTTTCTATCAAGTGAGGTGATAAAGATTTTGAGTACAAAATAGACAAATACCACATAGGCTTTAATCAAGTTTGACGATTAATATTTAACATTTAATCTCTACAAATTAAGAGAAGTCATCAAGAAAAATTAATCTAAAAATTAGAAAAAAGAAACTTTGTTCCACTTCATATGAATAATAATAATATGATGCCAAATCATCTAAAAAAGTTTAGCTTTTTCTTTGCAGAGATGAAAAGGTTTAGAATTTTTTATTATTTTATGTTCTTTGAAAAGTATTAATGATATTATTAGTTTCATAATTTATAGTAAAAAATTAATTTGAATAATAAATTTATTTCAAAATAATATTCATGACATTATTTATTTCATTAATTATTAAAAAAATTGAAGAACACATTATTAATATCATTATTGATACTTTAGTTTTATTGATATCTAAATTAAAAGAAAATCAAATTAAAAAATTAAAAAAATACGAAAAGTAACATGCAAAAATGTTAAGATGACATCATGGTGGTATGATATTTTATTTTATTTATTCATAGTTTTAATGGATTGAGATAGCCTTGTGGGCTACACAATAAGTGGTAATTCTCCCATCATTTCACAAAATTAATAAAATCTTTTATGGTTGAGAAGCTCAAACCCAAGACTTTTCATTCATCTAATCAGATTACATATTATTGAAGATATTTGTTTAGCCTGGTATTTAGACAGTCCCATATAGTAGATGTAGGTTAGATCACAGTGCAATTACAACGCCCAAATGGTAAGAGTTTTTTACCAATTTCTTGTTTAATACGAGCAAAATTCTTTTGCAGGGTTGCCTGAATACTGCTCACTTTAGTCGCCAGTTCCGACAGTTCCCATGTCATTGTTGCAGCAATGGTACGCCTGAAATCAAATCATACAAGTTGATGACTTGCTATTTTTTTTTTTTTCCAATTAACCCTAAAAAGAAAAAGATTTAATCAAGCATACTTACTGATTTTTCGATCCAATAAGGGCATCAATATGAGAGGCACAAGTCACAACACTATATATTGTCCAATAAACAGCTCGGACAATATCAGTTATGGCAGTTGAAAATGGCGGTTTATTACTTGTAAGATACTCAGAAGGTAAAGTATTGAACAGGAGAACAGATCGAATCAAGGCAACCATAGCCTTGTTAAGGTCAATAATTGCTCCAGAAAATTGTTCCAATAATTCAGCATCTTCCACTACCTCTTGCAGTTGCTTGAGCAAAGCTATATTCTTGGAAACTGGATGTTTAGTGTAAAGATCAGTAAGCAGATAAAATTCTCCATAGTTGACAGCATATGCGGCCACCATTACCACCAACTTCGCATCCCACGAATAGTTTAAAAGAAACTTTTCAAGTAAGATTATAGTTGTTTCTTGAGTATTCCGACCGGAGCAGTTGCATGATATCTGTATATAGATGCATTTCAAATTTAATGATATTATACTATGAACAATTGGTGTAGATCAGAAAATTAAAATTAGGGTTTCTTTTTTTTTTTTTTTTTTTTTTTTTTAAAATAGGGTTTTTCTTTTTTTTTTTTTTTTTTTTTGTGACTTTATTTTAAAAACAATCTTTACCATTTGGATGCTCAAATTGTAATTTAAAAAACCTTATTTGAAAATTAACTTTTCAAATGTTCTAGAACTCTCAAAAAAAAAATCAGATACTTGAATCAACAGTGAGAATGTACGTTGGAAAAAAAAAAAAAAAAAAAAAACGTAGGATTTTAGATATTCAGTATGATAAGATTCACTTTTTAGAAAGTCAGTATGATAAGATTCACTTTGTAGAAAGTTGGTATGCTTTATACTTTTGTACACGTGTCTGCGTTCTGGCAGTTCGGAATCGAATCAATTAATAAAGCTAGAAGATTGTCTTTTACATTAGAGTTGAAATACAATAACAACATATGGCCCGCTATTAAAAAGTCTAATAATCATGCATGAATGGTCTAATAATAGATTTTAAATTCAAATTTATTTTTTCAATATTGAAATATATATAAAAATAATATATAAAGGCATAAAAATGGTGTTAGAAATAACTATTATAATCAACAAAAAAATAATTAACCTCACAACAGATCCTGTTTATAATTTGTGCAGGTACTTCAGTATTTCCTGTAGATGTTCCCTGCAAAAAGCAACTACATGTAAATATACGTACACATATACTCCACTTCTATGTATAACTACATTTCAATTATTTTTTTATGCCTCTATAATTAATATTAAGTAACTTAACAAGGATTAAAAGAGACTCGAGAGTTTCAAATATATAAGAAAGAGAAAAATCTAACGGGACATTTTTTTTTTTAATCAGCAAATTTTTATTTTATTAATAATAATTCCAGAAAGAGAAAATCTAATGGGACTTAATGTATCTCCTTTCCTCTTTGATCGGGATTTCAGGATTCGATTTTATTAGAAGTACTCAGAGAATAATATTCATGAATACATTAAATTGATGTGAAAAAAATAATATTCCTGAAGGAAATTTAGTTTTAATCATCTAGTTCAAACTAATGTGAGAATAACTTCCATAAATTCATAAAAAATAAAAAAGAAGCAAAATAATTAATTAGAACATACATTTATAACACCACCATCACCACTGGGATTGTCGTGAAGCAAGATCTTGGTAATAATAGTGAGTAAGTTGTGAACATCAACTTGGCGACCATCAGGTTTGTGGATTCCTTGAACCTTGCTAATTATTGCAACATCATCGGACTGCAAGAACTTAGGTACAGGAAGTGAACGTTGAAATGTTCGAGTCACTTGCCGCGTGGCACGTGATATTATTCCTGCCATGTTTGGTAGCTAGGAAAGATTTGTGGGTCTGGAACGGAAAATTTAGAACAGATAACTGAGAAATTATAGAGAAGAGAAAGTTTTGGGACTCGTTTGATGAGTTTGGTTCTATACCCTTCTCCTTATATAGGCACATGTTGGTACATGTCATATTATTTTTGGGTTTCTACACATTTCCTTACAATAAAACGTGTAGTATTCAGACAAGGGGAAGATTTATGTAGAGTCGGTGTACAAGCCCATTCATATATCGAACTAAGTATAAATAATATTTTGGTTCAATCGAAAGTATTTCTGATCATACACTGAAAAAATGACAAAATAATTATATTTTAAAAAAAAAAATTTTACGGGCTCCTTTTTCTGCTAGAATAATTATTTTCTTTAGTATAGAATTTTTACTTATATATAAAGTTTTATATTTAGAATGTCAAATTAAATAGTTTAGATTTCTTTACAATTTTTACTACGTCTTGTATAATTTCGTTTTTGAATTAACTAATTTATGATAAATTCATAAATGATTCATAAATTTATGTGAAAAAGAAAATCTATATAAAGGGTTGAGTTAATTTATTTTTTTCCATTTCTGCTATTTTAAAATTAAGACTTTATTTAATCGTTATATTACTATTAATTAATAATTTTAATATTTTATAATATAATAGGGTTGATTACCTTTCCTATGATGAATTGCACATGCAGTAGATTATTCCTTCACCAGTAACTAGTTCTTCCATATGGTTTAATATTGAGTAAAGACTATTTTAGGCATAGGTATTTGGTATGCCATAATGGAATTTTTTTTTCTTAAATTGAATAAAGCCATAACTAACATTGTATTTTAATAGAAATTTAGGGAGAATAAAATATTAAAGATAATAATTTTATTTATTCATTTATTTTGATGTTTGGATAAGTGAGAGAAAAATAAAAGAGAAATTAGTTTACAATTAGTAAAATTATGAGTTTTGTAACACACTAAATGCAATGAAAATCTTATGCCGAAAATATTATGCAAATTAAGTAAATAAGTAATAAAGATATATTTTATAAAACACATGACTTATTTAAAAGACTATTGAAATAGAAGGAATTGAAATTTGTAATATATTAAAGTGATGTGTTTGAAAAAAAAAAAATTCTAAAACACCTGAGGTATGATAAGACAAATGCACAAAAGCCTCCTAAGAAAATTTAGTTGAAAGGCTCCATAATTCTATATAAAAAAAAAATTCATATATCTTAATCTCATTAAAATAACAAAAATTAGGAATTAAAAGAATAAAATTCTAAAGCAAATGAGATTAACTAATAAGAATGTGAAATGACCAACTAAGTACCTAGAATATTAATAAACTAAAGTGACTAAAGGGTTTAAAGGGACATTTTACCGATACAAGTGGCAGCCAATCTTTTCCACGACAAGGCAAATGACTCACCTCAAAACCAAGTGAAAATAAAAACAAGTGTCCTTTAGTTTAAGAGAAAGGAGGACAAGTGTACTAAGAGAAAACACTTCCATCTCTTCACCTCCAAAACAAAACGTAGCAATTTCCTCTCCTCCTCCTTCTCCTTTCCACCATTCTCCATCCTGCTATAGCCTACTTATAGCATAATATCAAGTACCTATAGGAGTTCCAAAGAAAAAGTTAAGCCAACAAATATATAAAGAAAGGGAAAATGAAAGAAGCCAAAAGAAAAGTATGGATTCAAAAATTCTGCCTTTGGTTTTCATATTTCCATAAGTTTAAATTTTTAATTTGATGAATCAAAACTCAAAATTATCTTTTAAACATGTTACTTGATCAATTAGGATGTTGAAAATTGGTTTGGATTGAAAGGAATTGAACATGGAAGTGCTAGAAATCTTAATTCTCAAAACTGTCTCAATGAAACTGCTTCAATTTAGCGACTGTGTTTGTTAAATTAAATATGTAAACAAGCTTCAAAATTAATGAAATTTTATAGAGAGCTAGGCTGGGATATTGAAAAGTTTTTAGTAAAAAGAGAAGCGTAGAAGATGAAAGGAAAATAATTTATGGCTAAGTGAATACAGGTTGCTCACTGTGACACTGTAAATAAATTCAGTATTGTGTTTAGGCTGTTTGACCATGTAAATGAACTTCAAAAATTATAAAATTTTACAGCGATATAGCCTAAGATGTTAAAAGGTTGTGTTAAAAGGATAAGTCCAAATAATGAGGAAAAATAGAGATATTGATAAAAGAAAGTAGACTACTCAGTATGAGAAAACTGAAAATTCTGATTCTGTAATTAATTTATTTGAATAGGTTAATGAACTCTAAAGTTCATGAAATTTAATATGGGAGTATCCTGAGATGTTGGAAACCTCCTAGCAAAATTTCATGATAAGTGGATGTGAGATAGTGAATATTCAATCAAATGAACAAAGACTGCTCATGTGCAGAAAATTTTATGTTTCTAAATTGAGCATATTAAAACATAAGTGAATAAACTATGAACATGAGCATACAGTGGATGAGCATAAAGCTTAATACATGCAATTTTTGTCCCTAAAATTTCAGATTCAAATTTAATGAATAAAAATACCAAAGAAACTTAAACGTCAATAAAGAGCTAGAAACAAAACTAAAAGTGCAATATGTGTTTAAATGTGAATATAGGTCGAGGATTATCACAGAAATGTTTTGAAATTATAAGTGATCGAGAAAAATCAAATTCTCGCTTTCAAGGTGAGTTATAATATCTAACCCTCCCTTGTTACAATGAAACTTTTGATCAAATGCATACTATTATTGATATTTGAAACCATTTGTTAATTGTGATATTGAGATTGTGCATTATAAAACCTATTTGGCCTTTAGGCCTATTTGATTATACCAAGCCATTTGTTTAGCCAATATGATAGAATCTCAACTTGATGGGGGTTATACCATCAGACTATGTGCACATAGAGATTTGTGATTAAAAAGAGAAATTACTGTCCTAAAGTATGCAATGTGTGATAGCACTGGAATGTGCACAGTGATATTTTATCTCTCACTTTCCTCTTAAAGTTAATGCGTTAAGAATAACATGTAAATTTCATAATTTGTTTTTAGCAGAACCAATAGGTATTCCTTTGGCTTGTACAACGGAAACTTTTTTGGCTACAGACGTTAGAATATGAAAGTTGGACAACGGTTTTTCAATAGTTCATTTGTGTAATTAGATAGTTGGTTACAGACATTATTGGTCATGATTTAAATTCATTCTTCTTATCTCAAGAAGTTCTTGTATTTTATTTTTGAAGTTTTCTAGATTTTTTCGCTAATCATTTCCAAGTAGGTTTTGTTATATTTGAGGGCTTATAAGCTCGAATGTAGGGTTTGTTCGGTAAAAAGAGATATTTTGATAGTTGTTAGTTGTTTTAATAGCTTCTAATTATTTAGCTGTTTGGTAACTTTTTAATAAAACGTTAAAATCTAAACGTTATATGATTTAACTTTTTATAAAACATTACATTTAATCTCTAAATCTAGTTGAAACGTTATGTTACTAAACACTATAGAAAAATATTTTTACTTAAAAAGCTGTTGCCGAATACAACCGTAATTTTTTAACTTTATAAAATTTTTTCTGAATATGATTAATTAATAAAATATAATTTTTTTGCTGATAAAAAAATATAAATTTTTTGGCATGTTTAATAAATGTATACTCCGAGAATCTAACTCGTGTTAGTCAATAAGTAATGTTGTTGTCAATATGTTAGGTTTGAATCTCCTTTGCCAAATACTAAAATGAAAAAAAAAAAAAAATGTGAATTCTCCTTTGCCAAAATACTAAATGAAAAAAAAAAAAAAAATGTTGTGTTACTGGTTATTGATTTTTTCTCTTCCCTCCAAAGAAAATTGTAGTTTTCCTTATTTCAGTTTCCTATTCAAGTTTCATTCTTCCCATATGTTGGCCCCATAATAAACAAACGTTTGTGAAAAACGTGTGCACAAAATACAAATATCTGTAGCAAAAAACCACAGTGCGTTATTGTTCTGCTTATAGATACTACAAGTGACTCAGAGAACAGGCCAACGCTCCTGAAACTAAAAACCAAAACGGGTCGATATTGTACCGTCAGTGGGAAAGAATTAATGCTAACGTCCAAAGCATTCACAGAAATTATTACTCTTTCCGTTTCATATTTTACTTTAGATCCTCATTTATAATTTCGAGATTAATAATTTTTTTTTAATTTTATCCGTATTTATTATATTAATTTATTTTATATTTGCATTAATTTTATTATTTTTATCATTATTCTGATGGCAATTAAATTAAATTTTTGATTACACCGATAATGAAAATTTTTTTATTATATCAAAACATGAAAATTATGAACTGGAAATATCAGTCTATGGTGGTGGTTTAATAGAAAATAAAATTAACATTAGTTTGTAGTAAAATTAAATAGGGAATTCTTATTTTTAATAAGGCAACTTAAGCATTTTATATTTTTAAAAATCAATATTTTCCAATCATTTTCTTCATTTTATGAAAAAGATAAATATTGTTATTAACATGGAACAAATTAAGGAATAAAAAGAAATAAATATAGACCACTAATATATCTCGGTGCAATTTACGAGTTGTGGTTTAGTTAGTAATACAGGCTGGATATGTGAAAAGAACTCTCAAGTTCGGTCTCCATTAAACGTACCTGCAGGAAAGAACAAAAAGCCTTAATTGTGACTAAATTTTAAACTGAATTAGATAATTTTTTATAATAGATTTCGAATACCGATGATTTACACGGGCGAAAAAAAAAATACGAAGTTATACATAGGATAGGACTTCCTTATTTCACCTGAAGAAATAAAGAAAAGAAAAGAAAAAAAAAAAAAGGCAAAGAAAATATGAGTTGGATGCCGGCGCTTAGACGACAGGTAGGTTGAGACATGTGAGAAGTGAGATAGTCAAATTCCCACGTGCAATGGTCACGTGTAAAAAAAATATATAGAGCTCAGATCCAGGTTTTGAGGAATTGTTTTTCGTAAAACAGACGACTGGTTTCCGGTTTTAGTTTATTTATTTGCTTACTGTTATTATTACAAATTGTTTCTTTCTTTAATTGGTCTCTCACTCTCTATTCTGTAACC